TTCTTCAGCTCGACCAGGGTCGTCTCGAAGATCCTTATCATGGCGATCATATCCTCGGTCAGCACTTTCCTTCGGGCCGCCCGGTCAATCCCCATGATCTCTTTAGTTTTAGCCTCCACCACCATCGGGGGGTGATCCCCGGAGAAGAAGTCCCGTTGGGTGTGGCAAAGAGGTAACACGAACTTCTCCACATGTGCACTTTCCTCGAGATCGATAAGTGTTGGTTCCTCGAGACACCACCTCTTGGAGAATGTATCCTACAAGGGAGGAGACTGGATGCACTAGGAGGAGGAAGAACCTCCAACTCTGTGGTCGGGCCTCACCGTTTGCTGGATTTGAGAGACTCTTCCTTTGCCTTTCTTCCCACCTTTGGTTGCCGCAAGCTTCAGTTTGCGTTCTTGAGCGTTCGACATCTAGCCTGCGAAAATGAACAAAGAAAATCAAGTTAGGAACAAGGAAAGAAAGGAAGGCACCACGCCAAAGAAAATATTCATTACCTAAAAACCTCAAAGTCTCCTCGCGAGATCCACACTCGAGGAGATCCTTGGTATTAATCAGTCAAGCCTCGCGAAAAACCTCCTCGCGCTCGTGGAGGATAAAACTCCCATCCTTGTGGATGCATTTGGCGGGATTGAAACCAGAGACAAAATCGACCATCTTTTGGTAAGATAACCGATCGTCAACATCCAGGTCGACATGCGGCATGACAAAACCGACCACACTCGACCATTAATGAAGGGGAGGTGGATCCCCACTTCACTAAACGCAAATTCATACATTGAGAATCTCATCTCCCTAAAACTCTAGCAGATGCGGTGTTTTTCCTTGGGTTTATAGACCATCTAGCTTGCGAAGGAACCCTCAAGACGGTCCTTGACAATGGCAAAAGCGTCAGTGTCATCGAAGGAGAAACGCGACACTATGGTGAGAGGTTCATGCCCGGCCCAGTCCTCGGGCATACGAACTTGTTCAGCTCCTTCGACCTCGACGAGAGTGTCGGGCTCAGACTCATTATCAATATGAACGACACCCTCAATCCTTACAACCATTTTACCTGAAAAGCATAGGAATACGGTGAATTCGACTTCAAAGATAAAAATCACCCTTCCACCGCAAGTCATGTGAAAGGGCGAAGGGAGGGACGAGGAAGCCTAGAATGACGGTCCCCCTACTCGACAAAGGCTCATCCAAGAAGAAACCCTCGTCGACTTGACGAGGCAAACCTCCCCGGCAGCGAGGCTCCCTAACGTTAGAAACAGGAAACGAAAACTTACTTGAAAGAAGAGAATCTGGACGACGTAGAGTGGTGAAGGCAACGACGGCAGCAGACGTGATCTGGAGAACTTGGAGAGACTTGGAGAGAATTCCGGTGGATGTGAAGGGGAAATGGGAAAGTGAGAGGGGTTTTCCTCCTATTTATAATCCTGGCACAGGAAAGTGAGGCGGCACTAGGTACTCAGGTTCCCCTATGCGTAGCCACCCTAGGCATTAATGACACATGACACGTGGCGCTAGGTGACACCGCGCGCATCCCTCAGCTTCCCTACATGCCCGGAGACCAAGCATGTCTGTTCCCTTTCCACCTCCGCCATATGTCGACCAGAACGCAAAACGAGGACACACCTGAAGGGAAGAGGGGCCAGTAGTATAGCCAGTCAAGCATCTCTCCCTATTGGGCACGCGCACGACCCTTGACTCTATATGCCGGACAAGCTGCCCATCCTACAAATTGGTCCTTGACAATCTAACTAGCTCTTAAGTCATTACTCCTCTGCCTCTAAGCAACGACTTAATGGGATCCTGTTCTGAACTGGACCGAGACCTGCCCCACAGTCGGGCAGATCCAACCCCATACTACGTTAGGAAGGCCCAACAAGGTCCAATCCTCTTGTGTCGGGCACGCTCAACTCTACCGTCAGGCAGGCCACTACCTAGCCCGGGGAGAGCTCACACGTCTTCCCCACGTTCTCCACGTGTTCCACACGCAGAGATACGTCATCAGTCAACTATCCACTTTCGAAAGAGCTGGTCAACTCATCTTTCGAAGATCACAAGACAATTGATCTAGGACGAAGACCATAAGCTAGTCTTCTCTACACCGCGTAAGCCCTGGCAGTTATTCTATTGGGTCTTGCAATCCAACCCAATGCCAAGTAACCGTTGGCCCTGCGCTGGGGGCACATTATAAATACGATCTTTCACTAGAGGGTCAGGTATTCCATTCTACACACATATTCTCTTTGTACTTGCTCTTTCTAAATTCTGTTACTCACTTAGGCATCGGAGTACCTTGTAGGTACACTCCTTTCTCCTCTTCAATACCGGTGAACACAAGAGGTCACGCTTGGCAAACTGCTCATTTCTTTCTAATCATGTAAGATCAAAATCTAAAATGGATGAAAGTATAAAAATAACTTACATAATTAAGGGTGTTTATGGATGCGAGTCTATTCACGAATCCATTGATTCAAACCGAATCAATTTATAAATTATTATAACCCATTATTTTACAGCTATACCCAACCCAACCCACAACAATCCATATATATTTGGTTCAAATAGAGTTTAAGTTTTGTAACTCAGTGACCCAACCTATTGATGTGATTTATTAATTTCTTATTATTTTTATTATTATTTTAAATAAAAATATAAAATTAATACCTCACCAATAACCATAAATTTTTCCAAAAAATTTTATTCTCCGCCAATAATACTACTCGATCAATGTGTTTGCTTAATTTTAAGATTAAATATTATTTTTTTATTTTCTTTTATATCATTTTCAACTTATATATTTTATGAAAATAATGTTGTTTTGTTGAATTTTATACTATTATGAAGTGTTATTTTGTGTTCATGAATTTGATTAAATATTATAGGTGTTTCAGCAAATTTGAATGTTATAACTGAGTATAATTGTATTGAGTTGTGTTATATTTTTTAAATCGACAGAAAATTTTATAAAAAAAAGTTTTAAAACAATTTTAAGAATATAAAATAATAATAATAATAATAATAATAATAATAATAATAATAATAGTAATAAATAATTATATATTAAAATGGAAACATTATATAGAGTTATTACAGACTAAACTAAAATAAAAAAATCTAAGTAATAAAATTTTTAAAACAATGTTAAGAATATAAAATAATAATAATAATAATAATAATAATAATAATAATAATAATAATAATAATAATAATAATAATAATAATAATAATAATAATAATAATAATAATAATAATAATAAATAAAATATTATAATGAAAATCATTAGTATTCACTAGGGCTGGAAATGAGTCGAGTCGAGTCGAACTCACCTCAGCTCGGCTCGACTCATTAAGAATTGTTCGAATTCGAGTTCGAGTTCGAGTTCGACACGAACTTTTTTTTAAGCTCAAACTCGACTCGTTATAAGTTCACGAACAGTTCGGTTCGACTCGTTAGGTTCATCTCATTAGGTTCATCTCACATGGTTCACGAACTTAAAAACTATTTTTTTAAATATATATAATTTTTGGTATATTTTACATTTTAAATAAATATATATTTTTTAAATAAAATATTAAAATAAAATAAAAGTTATCATATTGAAATTTAACTTTATCTTTGAAATCTACTAATTCAAAACCTACACAACTTTCAAGAGATACATTTGAGAGTCTAATTCAAAACTACTAAATTGAAGATTAAATTTGTCTAAGATTTGAAGTAAATATTTAAACCTAATCTTAAAGATAGTATAATTCTTTTCATATGTAACCGAGTTGACTCATGAACCTAACAAGTCGAACTATGTATAGTTCGAGTTCAGCTCATTTAGTTAACGAACTTAATTTTTCGCTCATACTCAACTCATTTGGTTCATGAACCTAGTTCATCGATTTAATTGTCGAGTCGAATTCCGAACTATCTTCGAGTTGGTTTGGTTCATTGCCAGCCCTAGTATTCACTTATTAAAAAAACCAATATTATATTAAAAAAAAAAGTATGAGACTAATAGAGGCTATACCTAATCGGGAGCATATCTAGTGAGAATACTACTTTTATATAAGAATGTTAAGAATAGTTATTAGCTCTCTGTATTTTCATCATTTATGTCATGTTCAATTAAGTAATAAAAAAGATGCACATGTTCATTAAATAAATATTTTAATCTCAATCAATAATTTTTAAAGCTAAAGACTAATAATTATTCCTACCATTCTTATATAAAAATAGTATGATATGCCTCATACCTAACGCAACAATAAAAAAAGTAGCATAAAATAAATAATAAAAATATAAAATACAAAAAGAAAGAAACGAAAATTTATTGAATTGAAATTTAAAATATTCTAAAATATTTATTTGAGCATTATAAATATTTTGATTGAATATCTCAAAAAAATTATAATAAAAATATTTTTAAATTTCTTAAAATCTCAATTTAATAAATCTCCCTTTATACAACCTAATTGTTTATTATTAATTTTGTATTTGGTGAGAAGAGAGAAATTAAGGGGGATTAATCCATAAGTCAAACTAAAAGTATATAAAAAGAATTTATTAAAAAACAAAGAACAATGAAGCTTAATATGAACAAAAATGGTAAATACATTGAATAATTGGATTATTTATCCATTAGAAAAAATGAGTGATGCTCTGAAGTTTTATACTATTAATCAATCATCACTATAAATTCTGTTAAGTCAAATGATAATATTTAAAAAAATTATATAATATAATAAAATAATACATTTTTATTGAATGAAGTGTAAAATTTTTTTACAAAGTCAGACATCTCCTTTAACCTCTAGCCATTATACCTAAATTAATATAATAACCTTTTATGACCAGTTATGATAAAAAAAAAAAAATATATATATATATATATATATATATATATATATATATATATATATATATATATATATATATATATATATATATATATATATATATATATATATATATATATATTCACAAAGAGAGTGTGTGTGAGAGAAACAGTGAGATGGGTTTAGATATGAAGGTTTATGGTTGGATTGCAATGACCATTTTGGTCATTTCTCTTTGTTTAGAAGAAACAAATGGAGGGAGTTGCAATTTATATGAAGGAAGTTGGGTTTATGATGAATCTTACCCTATTTATGATTCTTCAAAATGTCCTAAAGTTCATTTGGAACTTGATTGCTTGCAATATGGTAGAACTGATAAAGAATATCTCAAATATAGATGGCAACCAAGCAATAATTGTAACATACCAAGGTACAAATTAATTCAATTTTTTTATTTTATTTTTTTACACTGCCAAAATGATAATAACGTCTAAATATTCATATATATACATAACCCTAAACTCTAGGGTTTTGGTGTTATCCAATCTAATAATATCGGTTTTTGTCTGTTGATCTAGAATTTGCGAACCAAATTTATTAAACTTTATATGTTTTTTTATTAATTTTTATTTTTATTGATTTTATGGTGTTTGCAGATTTGATGGAAAAAATTTCTTGACAAAATTCAAGGGAAAACAAATAATGTTTATAGGAGATTCAATAAGTCGCAACCAATGGCAATCATTGTTATGTATGCTTCATTCTTCTATACCTAATCTTAATGTAACACAAAAGGGTGGTAAACCTATCAATAGCCACACATTCTTGGTTAGTAATATTTTTCATCATAAATCATCTTTCAAACTATGTATTTTTTTATTATTACAATTTCAATTTTTTTTTTGCAGGACTATGGTGTTACAGTTAGTATTTACCGTAATACATATTTGGTTGACATTGTAGAGGAAAAAAATGGAAGAATATTGAAACTTGATTCCATCAAAGTTGGTGGAGATATATGGAAACAAATGGATGTTTTGGTTTTTAACACTTGGCTTTGGTGGTACCGCAATGATGCCGGTAAAGGGTAAGAATTCAAACAAAAATAACCTATCTAATTAGTGAATTTTTTTTTTAGTATAAATCGTGTCGATAATCATTAAAAACTCACATACACAAAAATGTAATGATTTTGACTTTTTTTTTTCTAATAATTGCAGATGGGATTATATTCAAATAGGTAACAAAGTAGTAAAAAACATGGATAGAATGGAAGCTTTTAAAACCGCTTTAACAACTTGGGCTAAGTGGGTTGATGCAGAAGTTGATACAACAAAAACCAAAGTTATTTATCAAGGAATTCCTCCTAAACACTACAAGTGAGTTTAACAAATCATCTCCCTTTTTCTTAATATTTTTTGCATTGGTTAAATTTTATTATTTTTAAGTTTGTGTGAAATATATCAGTTAAAAAACTGGCGAATCACTACGCCAAAATTGATATTTTGTATTGCCTAATTTAATAGCATTTTTTAAAAAAATGCTATTAAAAAGGAAACAAACACATCTATAATAGCACTTTATGGTCAGACGTTATTAAATAGCTTTTTTATAGTAGTGAATCGAATCGAAATGTCAACTATAAATATACCAAACCGGTGTATCAAACCAACCATTTTAGTTCATGTCAGCTCTAGATAAATTGAAACGATTTGATTCAGCTAACGTAATATTTACTATGATTCGATTCGGTTCAGTTTGGTGTTTAGAAGCTCTCCATTGTATTGCTTTTAATATTTCTCTAATTATTTGTATTTGTTGTATACAAAAATAGTGGTGCAATATGGAAACAACCAGGAACAAATTGTGGAAATGAGACAACACCAATAAAAGGATCATCAACCTCAGTTATTATGCCACCAGCATCAAATGTAGTGCAAAGTGTGTTGCAAAAAATAAAAAATCCTGTTCATCTTCTCGACATTACAGCTCTCTCAGAATTGAGAAAAGATGGACATCCCGGTATTCATAATGTCCGCCATAGCTTGGATTGTGTTCATTGGTGTTTAGCAGGAGTACCAGATACTTGGAATCAGCTGTTGTATGCATCAGTTATGAATTAGAATTTTGTGATCACTAAGATGTTACATTTTAATTTGCATGCTTCATGAAATAAAATTATATTTGTTGCATTATCATCAAAATCTACATAGAATCAGATAATCCCATTGATCGTGACAAAACATCTCTCGAGTATATAGTTTAACAGACGAGTCAAGATGAAGAGAAATTAAGTTTTAACTCCCCATAAAAAAATATCATATGGTGATGAAATAAATAAAAAGTGAAGTAGAAGTAATAATAATTTGAATAGATTTCGCAAGTGAGTTACAAAAATAAAATGGAAGTAATATAGAAAGAAAAAACAACATAGAAAAAAAAATATAACAAGTGCCATATCTAAATTTTGACTCTGAATTTTTTAATTATAGCATATGCATCATCTTATGTATATTCTATCATATCTTTTATCATGCATATTATCAGTCAAAATAAACGGTTAGATTTACAGACAAATCAGTTAACCTAAATGTCAATTGTGCGTAAAATCAGTTGAAATTTTTTTTTAAAATTATACTTGCAGTAGTCAATTATATTAATCTACGTTTCGCATAGTTTAACCTGACGTACTTGTTTTAATTTTTTTATGACTTTTCGACAACATTTTGATCAGTCTGAAAATTTTTTTACAATTTCATATTTATTTCGAAGTTTGACAAAACGTTATATTTTTACAAGTCCTTTATTTTGCGCTGATTATTTTAGTACATTCATTTTATTTTATTCGAGCACTTTGACACCGGACTGTTTATTCCATTTTTAATCATTTTTATTTATTTATTTTAGTTAATTAATTTTTTGTTTAATCAAATTTTTAATTAAATTTTTTTAAATAATTATTTTTTATTAATTTATCACATTTTCTTTTTTTTGTAATATATAAAATTTATTTTTTATCTCTTTTTATAATACCTAATTACTAAAAGGTTTTGTTTTGTTCTTTAATTTTGGAAGTATATTAAAATATATTTGTATTGCATCTCTCAGCATAAAAGAATACTCACACACACGGTTACCACCATCTTCTTTCCAAGTTTCACTACATTTTCTTCTCACTCATACCAAACTTAAATCCAGATATACATCTCCGGCTTCTTCTCATAAAAACAACACACCATAATATCACACCTCCCATCACCTTTAAAAAAAAACAACCTTGCTCACAACAACAACAATTTTACTGTAATCTTGTGATAACCTCACCATCAAATATTCATAACCAATGTATAGTAACTTTTGTTGTTTGAATTTTCTCTTATATATTGTTTATTGTTATATAGATTTTTTAAAATATTTATTTCTATTTCATATATATATATATATATATATATATATATATATATATATATATATATATATATATATATATATATATATATATATATATATATATATATATATATATATATATATATATATATATATATATATATATATATATATATATATATATATATATATATATATATATATATATATATATATATATATATATATATATATATATATATATATATATATATATATATATATATATATATATATATATACACTATTTTTTATTTCAGTTTATTTCGTTTCCGTGACTTACTCTTGAATCTTCTTACAACGAGTTTTTTTATTTTTGTGTGTTCACATTTGCTTGTTTGATTGTTTTGTCTTGTGTGTAATTGTATTGTCTCTTTGTGTGTTGCTCTAGTTTAGTTAGAAATTAACTAATTAGATTAAAAACTAAAAAAAAATATCAATCTCTTCAAAAATCAAAGAACTTGGTCAACACCAAATTCTATTTTCAAAAACATTGGTCAACACTAACTGATCACCATTCAACTCCACTCCATTACCCAACTTGTAAGTCGATTGCTTCATGCATTACCATCAACCTTTCTCTTTCAATTTCTTCAAACCCTTTCATAATCATGAATAAATCTCGATCAACATCGAGTGTATTTTCCCAATAAAACCTCAAAACATCTAAAAATACTCAAACACTTTTCATTAATAAAGATGAAAAAGGAGCGGGGTGTAGTCAACGTGTCTCGAAAAGGAGGACACAAGATATAGCTCTCGACTGTCCGAGCACTCTCATCAATTCAAAAAACTTCAACACTTCAAACTCTTTTTTCTCACCGTCGTGCGATCTTTCAAATTATTTTTATAATCTTGAGATATTATGTCTTGAGACGACGCAAAATATTGCTTCGTCCACAAACTCTCTTAAGTTGAGATAAGAGGTGTTTCCCACAAATGTTGATTTGTAAAGCAATGTTTTCTGTCAAATGCGACTAAATATCTTTTGCTAAAATTGACCAACAAACTTCTTTTTACTCAGAACTACAAACACTCTGATTTTTCATTTCACAATGAGGATAGGTAGGCACAAGAGCCTAATCCTTGGTGAGTAACCTTTTTCTTTTTTCACCGTAGTGCCCGAACTACGAAGGCTCTGAGTTTCTCATTGCACCATAAGGATACGTAGGCACGAGATTGCGAAGTCTTGTCGAGCCCCTTAGTAATAAAAACCTTAGGTTTCCTTTCTCTTTTCTTTTCCCCTTTAATTAAGTTGAGAAGCCTAACTTTTAAACAAACATTAACATGATGTCATACCCTAAATTTTGACCACCTCATTTTAATTATTTTCGGTCATCAGACTGCATTTTCACTTTGAATCATCTGCATATCATATCATACATTTTATCATGAATATTGTTGAATTATCAGTCAGAATGAACGTGTTAAATTTTCGAGCGTTTTGGTCAAACTAAAAATCAACTGTGCAAAAATCCGGTGTACGGGCAGTTTTTTAAATCAAATTTGCAAATGTCAATTCTTAGTCTATTTTTCGTGTACTTTAACCTGGCGTGCTTATTTTATTTTTTAGCTATTTTTCGGTCACTTTTCTGACCCGTATGAGTCTTTTTACCAAGTAAAATCAATTTCAAATTTTGATAAAATGTTGTATTTTTTCAATACGTATATTTTTTCCGATCGTTTTAGTGTGTTCATTTTATTTTTTCGGACACCTCGATACAGACAGTTTTTATCATTTTTTTACCGGTTACGGTTCCTATTTTAATTAATTTTATTTTTTATTAATTAAGATTATAATAAACTTAATTTTTATTAATTTTTTTTTTTAAATTATTGATTTATTTATTATATTATTTAAATATTATTTATATATAATATAAATTTGTTTCATATTTTTACACTATTAGTCTCCCTCCTATACAAAAAATGCCACGCCCCACTTTCTTATTTTTTTCAATTTTTCTTTTCCTACTACACATACAAACTACCACATAAACCATAAAACCTTCAATTCATTATTTTCAAACTCATTGATTTTTCTTTTCAATTTTCATCATTTCTCAAATAAATTTATTTCTAAATCTCCTTCTATGACTACACCATTTCTTTATCATTTTTACCCAAGTTTTTTAATATTCAAATATTATGATTCGATCTTCAAAATATATTATTCAATTTTCAAAATTAATCATCACTTTCAACATTCGAACATTAATATTCAATATTTATTCAATTTTTTAACATTCTGACATCATCATTGTTTCTTTGGATAGAAATTACAATTTTTTCAAATATCATCATCATCTCTAACCATTTTGTCTAATTTCGTCATCATCTTCAATATTCACTTTTCATTTTCAAACAATACACATACTATATATCATTTTTTTTCCACAAATTTCTCATAACCATCACCATTCAATTTACAATTTTTAAACTTGTTGATTTAATTTTTTTAACTATCATCATTCCATTCACAATTTTCCAATTTCATCATTTAAAAATCATCATCTATCTTTGAAAATTTTGCCACACTATTTAGCTTCCAAGCAATATTTTTGCTATAAATAGGATACATATTTCACTTTATTACACACACCAAAACAAATTCCTAACATTGTTTTCTTCATATATCTCTCTCCCTCACAACTCTTAATTTTTTTTTTATTACAAAATTCATGTTCATATTATTTTTCACTACAACACATTTAGCATACTTTATACCACAAACTCACATACATACTGCAACTTCAAACAACTTTCATTTTCTTTTTGCAAAATGGGAGGAAGTTCGCAAAACACGAGTGTGAGAATTGGAAAATACTTAGGTTCTCTCTCTTCTTAATTTACCTTTTATTTAATTTTTTATTTTCATTTAACTTTATATTTTTATATATATTATTATTGTTATTATGAGAAATTGGGTTTTGTTTGGTGGGCTTAGTTTAGTATACCCATATATCTTTGCTAATCTGACTCTTTATTTTCACAATACTAGCATGGCCAATTTAATTTATGTTTTTTATTTCATAATAGCACTTTATGGTCAGGCGTTATTAAATAGTTTTTTTATAGTAGTGAATCGAATCGAAATGTCAACTCTAAATATACCAAACCGGTGTATCAAACCAACCATTTTAGTTCATGTCAGCTCTAGATAAATTGAAACGATTTGATTCAGCTAACATAATATTTACTATGATTCGATTCGGTTCAGTTTGGTGTTTAGAAGCTCTCCATTGTATTGCTTTTAATATTTCTCTAATTATTTGTATTTGTTGTATACAAAAATAGTGGTGCAATATGGAAACAACCAGGAACAAATTGTGGAAATGAGACAACACCAATAAAAGGATCATCAACCTCAGTTATTATGCCACCAGCATCAAATGTACTGCAAAGTGTGTTGCAAAAAATAAAAAATCCTGTTCATCTTCTCGACATTACAGCTCTCTCAGAATTGAGAAAAGATGGACATCCCGGTATTCATAATGTCCGCCATAGCTTGGATTGTGTTCATTGGTGTTTAGCAGGAGTACCAGATACTTGGAATCAGCTGTTGTATGCATCAGTTATGAATTAGAATTTTGTGATCACTAAGATGTTACATTTTAATTTGCATGCTTCATGAAATAAAATTATATTTGTTGCATTATCATCAAAATCTACATAGAATCAGATAATCCCATTG